CTCCTCTCCCCCTCTTCCCTTTTGAAATCCTGACAGATGACACGCGCGGAACGTCGGATATTTTTTTTTTCTCCTTGGACCGACGCCGGCTCGCGCGGAGGCTCCTCGCGTCTTCGCGCGGAACTCCGAACTAATGCTAATGCTATATAATCTCTCTTTGCAAGCGACATTGTATCACCTTGTAGAAGCGTTATGGCGTTTGAACACGCGCGGTGCCTGTGACGCGCGGTGCCGAGCAGAGATCAGATCCGCAGCGCGTGGAGCGGTTCTTTTTGTTTTTTCCAAGAGTCAAGTAAGATTCGGAAAGATATTCTTCTGATCTTCCTTCCTCTAAGTGGCATGGTAGAACGATAGGGTAATCTAGTCACAACATATAAAAATAATTCAAGGGGTCGTGGCAGAGGTGGTTTTGATTTCCCTATGCGAGGTGGATCGCCAAGGTTTCGAGGAAGAGGATTTGGGCCACGCGGGCCGATGTTCCGCGGTGCAAACAATGGGTTTCCCTTCGAAGCTCCACCGAGGCCGAATTGTCCGCCTGGTCCGGCGGGACCGAGATTCCGGGGACCGCCGCCGTTTGATCCCAGCTGGGGACCTATGGGGCCACCCAATTTCATGGGCCCTCCAAACTTGATGGGACCTCCAGGAATGGTATGTGTTAATCTCTCGGTGATTGATGAATTTATGTCGATTTCTAATTCCAAAATCTAAATTATTGCTTCAGCCACCACCTCACATGATGAACGGCCCTATGGGTGCAGGACCGGGTCCGTACGGGCCACCTCCTGGAATGGGGCCACCTAACATGAATAGCGTAAGTTATGTGTAATGAAAAATTTTATCTTTAACTACATCTATGCTGCCAATATTGTTAGAATATCTTTGTATATCTGTATTTTTGATAATGCAACTTGTACAGAGTATATTTTCATTTACATCATGTTTGTTTTTTAAAAAATAGATGCTTAGTAAAAAGTGTTTAAAGAATAAAAAATAGATATAGTAGAAATGTGTTTTAAGAATAAAAAAATAAATAAAAAGTTTTAAAAATATCTTTCTAAATGAAGTGTACGCTATAGATTCCAGGCCAACAACAGCCACCTCAGCAAGTGCAACAGCAAGCAAACATTCCAGGTCTAGATCTCAACGGAGAAGTTTGGGTAGAAACGAAAGCGGCCGATGGCAAATCGTATTATTACAATATTCGTACGAGAGACACCACATGGACTAAACCAGAGGGACCAAATGTAAAGGTCATGGTACAGGATCAGGTAAGTAAATGCAAATTTCGATTTCTATTTGTAACCAATTATATAATAAATTTTTTTGTCATTTGTTATTTGCAAGTAATTTCACTACTTTATTTATTCTTGGTCATAATATCTGGGCTATGATGTACACCTTTTTAATATAAAAATCATTTATTATTATTTTCTTTTGCCATTAGTTTTATGATAAATGTTTTTACGCGAGATAAAATACAGACCGGGGGAACGAAGTAAAAATAAAGAACCGAATATCAAAAAATTGACAATTATCAATGTCTTAACAAAGATCGGTAAGTTTAGCAGTCAATAAAATTGAAAGTTTATTTCGTTCTTTTGTAGAAGATTTGATATGATTAATTCAGAAGGGGTTCTTAACGAAATGTATCTTGTGGTTTTGCAGTTAGAACAGTTGGTGCATGGCGCGTCGAAACAAGCGGCAGCACGTTCTACCACACCTACACCATCAAGTGGTACGCCGACCAAGATTAATGACAACAGAATATCTCAGGGCGGCGAGCAATCATCCTCTAACAATACAGATGCCATTAATCAATTAAGTACGGCGCCTCCAGGCACCGGGCCACCACCTACATTGAACGATACCCCGGATGTCAATCAAACATCTGACACGAATCAATCAAACGGTAACTTGATTTAATTTTGAAAACGTTTTTCGAGCTTGACAATCAAGTTTTTTTTTTAACTTATGCCAAAATATTGTCAATAAGAGATAAAATCTTGAAATGTCAGGCACAGCACCCACGACAGTTACCAACACGCCACCAATAAACACACCGGCGGTAAATACGAATATGATGCAACCGCCGCCAAATATGATTCCTATGCAGCATAGAATGCCAAATCAGTTTGGTAATCCGATCGCAACGCAATTCGGAGGGGCGCCCTTCGGGATGCCACCGCCTGGTTTCCAGCCTTTTGGCGGTTATGGACCACCACAAGCAAATTGGGGTAAATATAAAATGAAAAAGATATCCGACGAATATAATGAAAAACAAAAGAAATATTTTGTTTAGTTTATAGTAGAGACCCTCAATCAGAGTCGAGCCATAAGACGATTGGCTCTAAATCCTGCGAGAGAGAAAGATAGTTCTCTCTCTTTTCAATCTAACCTTTATATATATATATATATATATATATATATATATATATATATATCTTTCTCTCTCTCGCAGGATTTAGATCAAATCGTCTTATGGCTCGACTCTGAGAGTCTCTAGTTTATAGATTATTAATTCCTTTTTTTACCTTCATTTTTTAGGTATGCCACAAATGCCTCATGGTGTAATGGCACCTCAAGCGCCCGCCGAAGATCCTGCTATACTCGCACAACTCGATTCTGAATTAGTAGCAGCTGCTATGGTCTGGACCGAGCATCGTGCACCAGACGGCAGATTCTATTATTACAACAGTAAAGCGGGAGAATCAGTGTGGGAAAAGCCGCAAGCTTTGAAGGATCTGGAAAGTACGTAATCCCTTTACTGTGCATATTGCACGACAATTGTTTTTATAAAGCAAAATAACTCACGATATTAATCTTTAAATATAATTTCGTAATAATAATTTTTGTAATATATGAGTCCTAAATCTGATGTTATATTTTGGAATTTTATTTTGTTAGATGCGAAATTAACGTTACGGCAGAAAAATGAGGAAGCAAATGCTGTTCCTACCAGTACCGCTGTTACACCCACTATCGTTACCAACAACAGCACCGCGATCGAACCTAGCAAACCTGAGAAGCCGCAAGAGAACGCTCACGAAACCAAAGATAGTACAAAAGAAATTGATATCGCTAAACCGAAGAAGGAGGAAAATATTGCAAAGGAACCTGCAAAGCCCCAAGACAAGTCTAGACCTATTTCTAGTACGCCAGTGCCTGGAACTCCATGGTACACTCTTAGCGATACTTGTTTTTATATTGCCACTCGTATAATGTGTGTATATTTACATGAGCCAACTAATATATTTGTATGTAAAGGTGCGTCGTTTGGACGGGAGACGGACGAGTGTTTTTCTACAATCCCTCTTCGAGGATATCGGTTTGGGAAAGACCGGACGATCTTGTTGGCCGTCAGGACGTGGATAAGATGATATCAACGCCGCCAGATGCAATTGGAACTCCGAAACCAGTACGCCAGTCGGACACCAGCGAAAGCAGTGATGACGATCAGCCCACGCCAGCCAAAAAGATGAAACACGATGATACCAAAAGTAATTGTTACTCTTCAAATAAAATATTAAGTGTGTATTGATCTTTTAAAATATAAATTCTGCATTATCTTTCAGACACACCCATCAAGGAAGAGGAAGAGAAGGAAGGAAAAAAGACCATCGACATCGGTAAGGAGGCTGCGATAGAGGCCGAAGTCAGAGCAGCGAGGGAGAGGGCGATAGTTCCATTGGAAACCAGGATCAAGTCGTTCAGGGATATGCTTGCAGAGAAAGATGTAAATTATTATATTAATATCATTTATATTTATACAG